GGGCTGCGGAGTCAGACAGTATGGGTTCAAAACCCCATGCACCTCTGATCCTTACTGGTTTAGTGACCTTAAGTGAGCAGGTACTTAGCCTCTGAGTCCTCCTTTCCTTATCTCTAGAATGGGACTCCTAACATGGTTAGGCCACTGAGTTATTGGGAGAATAAACTGCATTTAATCCATGCAAGCTCATGGCCCAGGTGTTCAAAGAAGTTAGCCATTAATAGCAATTCTACTTTCTTCACAACAACCCTTTCAAGAAAGCATCATTATCCACATTTTGTCAAGGAAAAACTGAGGCGCAGAGACTTGCTGAAAACCACACAGCGACTGAGTGACAAACCCAGGATTTTTCACCCTTGTTGTGCTTGATACCAAATCCTGACCTCTTTCCACTAGTCAATCCTTCAGCATCCGTATGTTGTGGCCAAAAGCCTCAATAGTTGCTTCTAGTCCCTTAGAAACATCGATGATTTTCGAAAGAAAGGATATTTTAATTATTTTACTTAATCTCTTAAAAGAAAAACAATAAAATGATTAGGGAAGACTTTTGCCCTTGTCATAAAAACTTAATTTTTCCCAAGTTCATTTTTTAATGGACCCACTCAAGATTGTCAGCCCTAATTTTGTGACTGCTGCCAATTGTTTTAGGCATGAGCAAAAGGCTCAGAGAACCCTGGCCAAACTGTATGACCTTGAACATCACTTTTCTTTCTCAGGTGGGCCTCAGTTTCCCCTTACGTAGAACAAAAGAGGGTGTGGAGGCTCCCCCAAGTCCCTGAAGCCTTGGCTTGGAAGCCTCTCTTCTGACACCCTTCCAGGGCGAGCCTTTTGCATATGTGAGCATCTGGGCTTCAAACATTTGACTCCTGCCCTGTCTTCCTGAACTATGTCAGAGGGGGATGGAAAATAAATAAATAAATAAACAAACAAGCAAACAAACAAATAAATAACCCAACATCTGTTTTCACAGCAGGGCTGGGAACTCATTCCTGAAACATTTTTCATACTTGACCAGAAGAGCGTTTCGTCACAAGTAAGAGGATCCGTCTTTTGCTCCCTGGCCTCCTCTGCACTCTGCTGATAAGACAGTAACGAATATGCTGATACACACTTCCAGGAATCAGAGCTCCTTCACCCAGGCCAGCGCTGCTGCCTTCTCACAGTCAGGTGCCAGAGCCCAGTGCCCGCAAGGACTTCCCAGGCAAGCTGGCCAAGTTACTCCCTTCCTACCAGCACCTCCCTGAGGCTCCTGCAGGCAGAGATTAGTCGTTGGTGATGCCACTGATCCAGCATTCTTCTTCCTGGCTTCCTGGTCCCTGGGCCACTTGGGGGAGAAGAACACCCCACCCCCCACCCCACCCCGCTAGCTTCTGCATCTCCTAGGCATGGGCAAAGCTAAGCATACCCTCAGTCCCACCAGTGGCTCAGGGGAGGCTCTGTCACTCATTCACTGTGTGACCTTGAACAGGTCTCTCAACTTCTTTGGACCTCCATAATAGCTAATATTTATAGAATGCTCACTATTTATAGAATGTGCTAGGCATTGTTCTAGTTACGTTTTGTAGGAATCAACTCATATTTGAACCACTCAAGAGCCTTATATGTGTGTGATCAGTTTTATTGTTACCCTATTTTACGGATGAGGAAACCAAGCTACCAAGAAGTTATGTCATTCACCTAAGACCAGACATATCCAGGATTCGAACCCAGGCCCTCAGGCTCCAGGACGGCTCACTTTTACCACTAGACCAGCAGTCCTCAAACACTGTGGTCTCAGGACACCTTTACGGTCTTCAAAATTATGGAGGCTCCCAAAGAGCTTTTATTTCTGTGGCTTATATCAATCACCATATGAGAAATTAAGACAGAAAAATTTGAAACCCAAGAATACATGGCACACGTTCCATTAGTCATCAGAGCAATGGCATCATCACACGTCGAGGCGCCTCCAGGAAACGCCACTGTATGCCCATGACAGAGAAAATCAAATGACATCTTAGTATCATTACGAAAGTAGTTTTAACCTTGCGGACCCCTGAAAGGCTATCCTGGAATCCTAAGGGTCCCCGGACCACACTTTGAAAACTCGTGCACCCCACTGCCTCCCTTACCTCGCTAGAACACGTGCCTAAGGAGGTCTTCCCTCCCTTTCTCACACGGTATTGATGCAGTGAGCAAATATATACTGAGCGCCACGTATCTATGCGTCACCATGTGAGGCACTGGGATACACCAGTGATTAATAAGCACACCCTGTCCTTGTGAAGCGTCCAGTCCAATGGAGGAGACAGGCATTACACAAAAAATCCTTCTATAGATCATTCGAAATGCTGAATATTATTAGAAATTCAAAATGGGACACAACAGGATCATAAATCAGAGACACGATGTAGTTCTAGGGGTCAGGGAAGGTTTTCCTGAGGACTTTGAAAACTGTAACTCTGCTTTGCAAGAAGGTACTGTTAGCAGTCACCTAATGAGGGTTTGGGCTCCGTCATAGACCCCGCTCTTCTCTCTCCTGTTCCAACCACCCAGTTACACCTTTTCAGTCCAAAGACTCTCCCCCTTAGGCTCCTAGCAAGTTCAGCTCAGAAACCCTTCCCTCCCAGCATGTGGTACCAACCCAGCTGCTCCCAAGGGAACACAAGTAGTGGCAGACATTGGTGGCTAAGGAGAGAGGCAGCAACTCAGCGGGCAAAAAGAATGTTGCATGTTGAACTCCATGCTTAAATATAGGCCATTTCAAAGAAAGTCTGTAATTCAAAATAGTCTTTGAAGGATGCATGCTGGGGGGTTTTTTGTTGTTGTTGTTGTTTTTTTTTTGTCCTTTTACTAAATGCTAAGCCACAAATGCAAAAGAGCGGCTGAAATTTCTTCAAGACAAAAAGTCTTGATGATTCAGAGCTTGTCTTTGTTCATCTTGTTTATCTTTTAAAACCAAACCTTCTTACAAGGTCCACTGGAATGTCCAGCAGAAGGCACATCCAGCCGGGAATCAGGCACTGGGTCTCAACCCACTTCAACCACTGATGCACTGTGGGCTTTGGAACAAGTTTCTTCCTTTGTTTGGGCCACAGTTTTCACATCTGTGAAATGGGTGGGGAGACCGTGGGAGACTTTGACTCTATCAGTACTTTTCAAAGGGTTGGCACAAAACAGTGCAGGTCAATCATCCCGTGGGGGGATGATTTCAGGAATCATAGACCTAAGAGAAAATAACTTAAAAAGAAGGGTGATCACCTTTCAATTCTCCTTTTATGCTTTGGATTGATTACATGTCAAAGAGAAATTCCCATGTTGGTGCCTGTGTGTCCTCAACAGCTCTCTACACTTTCCACTTTCCTCTGTAACTGAGAATATATTTTAGGACTAGGTTTCAGCAGGCAAGAATAGCTAGAACTGAATTTCAGTATTTTGTTATCATTGTGTGTGTGCCTTGGTGAACTTCTACTTTAGCAAGCAAGTCTACTTTTATTTCCCTTTACCTTAGTGATGTGAAGTTTCCTTAGTACATAAATTCATTTTAGTTTTTCAAAGGGAGTTATTAAAAAACAAAAAAAGTAGCAGATGTTATGGGAAGCACACAGCTATGGCAATGACCACAGCCATGTCACCCAAGTTAGGGAACTGTGTGTGCTGACATCTGAGGCTACTGCCCTCACTTGTCTAGTCACAGCCCCCACTTGGTGGCTGTGAATGGCTCCATCACAGGATATTCTTAACTGTCCAGTCCTCAATTGTCCATGCTCCCTGGGTGCTGAAGTCATGCTGAACAGACTCCGGGGCTGGGGCAGAGAGGTCCAATTTGCTTGGGAATTTTGTTCTGCCACAGGCAGAAGACAGCAGATCCCCCTCCTCCAGGAATAATCCTGCAGACAGCAGGAGGAGGGCTCCGGCTGTGGCTTCAGCTGTATTCAGAGGAAATTACCATGATAATGAGTTCTGGGTGGTGTAAGACTTTACAAGGTCCTTCTTTGCATATGAACTCAGAAATCCTCACCCCACACTTTTCCAATTTGGTGCTATTTCTGACTTCATTTGACAAGTGAGGAAACAATGGCTCAGAAGGTGACGTGACTGCAAAAGTCACACACCTAAAAAAGGATGGAATGAGGTCTTTAATTCTGCATCTTTTGTCACCAAAGTTCATGTTCTTTCAACTACGAATGATGATTAAAAAGGTTGGGAAATCAATCAGGAAGATGAACCCAGATAATTTTATAGTTATAAGTATCCCATTCTATGAATGTGCTATGTAAACAGTCCCTTAATTTGGAACACATACCTTGTATCCAGTAAAAGAAAAACGTTTGTGTACATCTATCTGTTTATAAGATAACTTTCTAAAATTTTAAGTGCTGTGTCAAAAACTATATGTACATCGGGCCGGCCGAGTGGCGCGATGGTTAAGAACTCGCTTGGGATGCCAGAGGGCCCCGGTTCGGATCCCACATATGAGGGCCAGTGACACTGCCCTCTACAGCTAAGATGCTGAACAACAGCTCAACCTGGAGCTGGGCTGCCATGAGTTGCTGGCGACGGCATAGGCTGCAGTCCCTGTGGCAGTGGGTTGCCATGGGCTACCGTATGTAGCCAGCAGCCAGCGTGAGCGGCCAGCAGCCGCAGTGAGCGGCCGTCCAGAAGCCCGCGACTGATCTGCCTCTCCCAGGAGGAGCGCAATGATGGTGCCAACTTGGGTCAGTGAAGCAGCGTCCTCCACAACTAGATTGAAGAACAAAAAAACGACGACAGCAACTTGTCTGTTCCCCTTCCCCTAATTCCCCAGCACTGTTCCCATCCCCCCAATTACCCAATAAAAATCTTAAAAAAAAAAAAAAAGAAAAAAAAAAAAAAAGATAAACACATCTCTCATAAATAGAAGGAAAAGATCAATGGGCTAGACTGAAACTAGTTTAGGTAATTTAAAAAAAAAAAAAACTATATGTACATCTTTAAGCCTCTTCACAGATATTGACAGGTATTGTCAAAATGCCCTTCAGAAAAGTTGTACCAAGAAAAAAAAAAAAGAAAAGTTGCACCAATCAAATCATGTGGCCCCAGTGTGAACGAGAGAGGCCGTTTCCTAACGCTTACCCTAATTCTGAGTATTCTATTTAAATTTCTTAAAACAGGAAAGAAATAGCACTCTAGTGTTTCAGTTAGCATTTCTTTGATTAGTGAAGTTATACATCCTCCCATCTGCTCATTGACCATTTAGGTTTATATCTGGAAACTTTATGCTCAAGTTCATTGTTGACTCTTTTTTTGTACATTCAGGATTCGGGATAAAGGAAAAGTTCCCAGAAACTCTCTGGGCCCCAGTTTCCTTAATTGTGAAATGGGCTTTGGAGGACATGCCCTCAAGATCCCCTCAACTCTAATGTTATCCAGGACAGAGGCAGCATCGATGCTGCTGAGAGCGTGGCACACTTTTTAGACCGGAGTCTCCCCCCCACCAGCCCCTCCCACTTATCCCAGTGAAGACGGTCCAGGTTGCCATATGTGCCAGGCCACCCTGCCAGGACCAGCACCCTAGCTCTGCTCCCGCACAGGGGCACCCCACCTATCATTATTCATTGAGGCAGTGACCATCTTTTGCATCCATGTTAAATAAAATTATAATTTAGGAAATGATTTTGTCCTTGTTACCTTCATTTTCAAGTACGCCTCCCTCTTGCTGTATCCCTGAGGTCCCCACAGACTCTCCTCTCCTTGGAAAACAGACCTGTAGAAAGAAGGTGGACATGCCATGGCACTTTTACCATCTCCATGACAACCGGAGGTGATGTTCCTGATATGTTTAGGAAAGAGAATATCCCCAGCTTGTAAAAAGAACACTGCCAAGCCTTAAGAGAAACTTCATATCTGCCTTTACAAGAAAAGTAATTGGAAAGATTAATTTCTTATTGTAGACTTCCTTTAATACGATTATTAAATTAGAAAAAGAAATTCTTATTTTATCTTGGATGGGTGTGTGGTTAAGATGAATTTCGTTTAGTCGAAAACGCAGGATGTTGAAATTCCTCCAAACTAATCATTGCTTGAAAATGAATAAGTAAGCCTAGATGGTAACGAGGAAAATATTGGAAACGCATATCTTAATGCACTGGGGAGGCTCGGATAACATGTTTTATTTCACTTGTCTTCCAGAAAAAGGAGGAGTTGTACATTTTAACCTTGGCCTCCTTTTATGTCCCATCCTTTCAGCTGGACTGACCCACCCACACATCACACCCATGAGGGACAATGAAAGTGAGCCCCAAACAGAGCTGATTTAGAAGTTCATGGCATGCCCCCATCCTCCAGGTGATCTCCACCTGCTCTCCCTCTGTCTGATCTCCTGGCCCCATTCACTGCTCTCCTCTGCTGGTCCTCACAGCTGCTGTGCCTTCCTGATTGCCTACTGTATTGTTTTCAGCTTTGCCAGTCCTTGTTTTCTGGTAGCTGTTGATGTCCTCATCCCCACACCCACTCCCAAGCCCACCCAAACTCTCATTAGGGTAGATGTCTACACATTCCTAGTTCCACCTTTGGAGCAGGGGAAATCTGGCAGAGCTGGGTGTGGGTGCCCTCCTAAATCATTGCATATATGCATTTGAACCCAATTTTTACTTGGCCAATGTTTGGTCTGATTATCATTCTGGCCAGGAATTAACTCTGTCCTAGACAGAAGGGACAGGCCAATGAACAAATGGATTTGTGTGCTTCTTTTAGCTCTCACCGTCCTTGAGAGGGAAGAGAAGAAGGGAGAGTCACATCTATTGAGCACCTAGTTTATTACAACATACATAATTTTGCTAAATTCCTAGCCATACAAGATCTGTATTGTTTTCCCCATTTCATAGGTGAGAGAGCTGGCCTCAGAGAGATTAAGTGACTTATTTAAGGTCATACAGGGAGTAAAGTGTAGCAGTGACTGCAGAACTCCAGAGCCAAAGCCTACCACTCACAGTGCCAAGTAAAACGTTCCTCAGCCTCTTGTTCCTTCCAGGTGCCCTGAGGGATTGTGGGATCTGGCTGCCCATGGGCTCCATTTCATTTTTCCATGGATGTGACACTGTGTGGTCGGCACAATTCACGTGGGAAGAAAACTGCTTCAGCCAGGATGGGATGAGGGGCAGCTTCTGCAGGACGAAGGCAAGCTGGGAGCCCAGCACCTGCTATCCCTTTGACTCCCACAATTCAACTGTTCCACTAACCCACCCCAAGCTCAAGGCAGAAGAGAAGATGCTGAAATTCTGTGTAGGCTTCTATGTTGGCCCTACAGGAAGAGATGGTTGAGAAATACTTTTGAACCCCAAGTTCATGCCATTTTGACACCTCTTGAGTGTGAAGAGTGCATCATTGCAGTCAAAAATATTGGGGACCATCAGATGAAAGCTCCAAATTTAGAGTCCCTCTAAGAAAATCATCCCAATAACTAATGGGTAAACAAGCTGGTGGAAAGGGAATGGAGAAGGGAAAGGAACCTGATGATATTCTTTTCAAACTAGAAATCCCTCTGTAATTTTTTTCCCAGCTCCACGGAAATCACCCACTGTTATCTTCGGGAAATGACTTGACCTTTCTCAGGTGACCTCTTCTGTGAAGAGTGTTAACAAGACTCATCACGGGGTGTAGTAGACCTAAAACAGCATCTAGCATCCAGTAGGAGCTCAAGAAATGGTAGCTCCCTTCTCTGGAAACAAGGCCTCATAGGAGAGAAGTCCTGAAGCCCAAAGGAGGCGCTAAGGATGGGCATGTTGGACCAACAGGTCAGGGTGAGCAGGAATCCTTTGAGCCATGTAGCCATGATGAAGATGGGAATGGAGAAGACGGTGATGGGATGATAACAACGAGGCAGCAGTGACGAGGAACACGGCATCTCTCACTCCCAGCATCCGAGCTTGGAAGGCTTCTGGCCTCTTCCCCCAGAAGTGGCCCTGGCTCCTGGTGACCTTTGTTGTCCTCCGTGAGATGGAGGTGTCACCCAGTTGACAGGAGGAAGTTGGAGAATGAGAAAGCAGATGGCAGTTTAGCCCCAGGCCATATAGCAGGTAAGAGGGAGGGCTCTGGAGTCAGACAACCTGGACTTCAGTCCCTGCTCTCCTGTTTTCTAACTTATGGCTTCTATAACCACAGGCAAGTCAGCTCACATCTCTGAGCCTCAGATGCCCCATCTCTAAAATGGGTATAATGATAATCCCTATCTCAAAATATCACTGAGATGATCAAATTGAATGAGAAAATTATGTAAAGCACTGGGTATGGTGCCCTTTACTGACAAAGCACTCAGTTAGAGGTTGCATTGTTGCTATCATTATTATTATTATTATTATTATTATTATTATTATTATTATTATTTTATCTTAAGGGTTGCATGCAACTCTCCTCACGTTGTTCAAAAAGTCTCTGTTATGATCCTGCATTGTAGCCCAAATCAAGTTAATGCTGCCAAACATCCAGGTTGGGGTTGAAACCATTGTTGCTCAGGGGACCATCTGAGCCTCAGTTTCCTCATCTGTAACCCAGTGTCATCGGACACTGCAGAGGGAGAATTTCACGAGGCAGTGGTGGAAAGTGGCCAGCACTGGGCTTGGCACAGAGGAAACCTGGAGAAATGGGAGTTCCCTTTCTTTTCCTGCTCCCCTCTAGGAAAGTGCAGAAAGTGAGGTTAAGGACCCCCTGGGGCTTCTCTGGCCACCTGACCGGAGGGAGAGCAGATGGAGAGCAGGAAGGGGGCGGTGTGGTACAGAGCAGGTCAGCTTCTCTCCCCTCTGTGACCCAGCCATTTGGAAACAGATCCCCTCTCTGCCGCCCGTTCAGCCCGCCGCGGCCCTTCTCAGAACAATGGCAGGATACAGGCCTGTGCTCACCAGCAGTGGCACGCAGGCTTCTGGGCCAGGCTGGGCCAGACCCAGGGCTTGTCTCCAGCACACAGAGGGCCAGCAGCCTCAACATCAAATGAGGGGACGCCTGGTGCAGCTCTGGAATTTTGGCCTCCTGGCTCCCAGGGAGGTGCAGGTGTTAAGCCTGAGGAATTTGGGAGTCCTGGGAGACCTGGCAGAGAGACAGGAAAAGAGACAGGTTCCTGGAGCACAGGTTTGAGGGACTTCACACTCACACACTCCCTCCCACTCTCCCTGGGAGTGAGCTGGTGTTTGGATTCCTGGTGTCCTCTAAGAGATCTGTGCCAGACTCCATGCTATTCCTGATGATAATATGATAAGCTGCCATTTAACTGAGCACCTACTATGTGCCAGGCCTAATGTGAATCCTACAGTCCTACAATCAATCCTCCTTATTCCTGGAGTCTGTATTTGCAAATTCGCTTACTTGCTAAAATGTATTTGTAACCCCAGGTCATTACAGCGGCATTTTTCTTTTCCTCTTTCACAGTCATTCATAGACATGCGCAGAGCAGCACAACCGTTTGAGTCCCTGGCTCACACGTCCCCAGCTGAAGTGGAACAAGGTGATGCTCTGCCTTCTGGTTCCAGCTCTCATGCTGTAAACAAGTGTCCGTCTTGTGGTCAATATAATGCCATGTTTTTCACATTTGGGGACATTTCGTTGATAATTTTGCTATTTAAAATGGCCTCCAAGTGTACTGCTAAAGTGCTGTCTGATGCTGCTAAGCCCAAGAAGGCTGTGATGTGCCTCGCTGGGGAAAGACGTGCACTAGATGAGCTGTATTCAAGCATGGGTTATAGTGCTGTTGGCCGTGAATTCCATATTAATGAATGCACTATGTATATTAAGTGCAGTGTGTCTAAACTGAAACACACATACAAAAAGGTTACACGTTGATAGGTACATGAAAATGTTGAGACCAGAAGCTCACAGTAATCTAACCCTGTATTTCCCCAGGGAGCAATGGCTTAGCATTCGCGCATTGTTTTGGGTGACTTTATAGAAGACAACCACCACAAAAAGCAACCATCGACTGTATTTCTTATCTTATGTTATCCCACCAATAAGCACAGAGGAGATAAATATTACCATCCCGTTTTTACAGATGTGAAGATCAAGGCAAAGAAAAGTAGACTTCCCTAAGGTCACCCTGCTCCAAAGTGGCTGAGCTGGGGTCACACCTGTCTACCTCCAGTGCTTGCATCCTTCTCACCACACTGGGCCACCGTGCAGGTATCTGCTTCCCAGTGGGCCAGGGTGACCCTCACACCCACAGGAACAGAGTGAGTGAGCAGGGCCAGACCGCTGGGGTACAGCCTGGTCCTCGCGCTGTGGGGAAGTGAGGTCTGGTGGGCACGGGAGTATATGAAGGTGTGGACGCCCAGGGCAATGTCTGTGTTCGTGGCTCTCACCAGTTCCCCGCCCTCTGCAAAGCAGCCTGAGCTCCTAAGACCTCATTCAGTAAGTTCCTCATAAACCTTTCTTTGGGGGAAAATATAGTTGTTTTTTGTTTGTTTGTTTGTTAAGAAAGAAAGAGAGAAAGAGAGGAAGAGAGAGAAGAGAGAGAGAGAGAGAGAGAGAGAGAGAGAGAGAGAGAGANAGAAAGAAAGAAAGAAAGAAAGAAAGAAAGAAAGAAAGAAAGAAAGAAAGAAAGAAAGAAAGAAAGAAAGAAAGAAAGAAAGAAACTAATAGTTGGCAAGCACCTACCACATGCCAGGCATTATCTCATTAATTCTCACAACGCTGAGAGGTCCAGAGTATTTCCCCTGGAATTATCCTGATGGAAGCCTTGACCATGCACCCTCCGCATTAACCTCTGCACACCAAAGGCTGCCTAAGGTGATGGGAACACATGTGACTTCCCTTTTCTCTAGGCACTGGAGCACACTTAGTCCGAGGGCAGAGCAAGTCAGAGGGGCAAAGACTTAAAGACCCTGGAGCCGTGCTCGCACAATGACAGTGGGTGTTAGGGATAAATAGTCACTTCCCCGCCCCCTCGGTTGGAATCACCCACAGTCATGGTTCACACTGTCGCCCAGGGCTCCCCAGTGGGACTGAGCTCCAGTCACCCAAGACGGTATCTGGCTTAACACCGTTTCCTTCCCCTCCTTCCCATCAGTGTTTCCTGGGATCTCCTCCCACTCAAATAACAGCTTTCCACTCAAGTGAACAACGTGCCTAGAACATGGAAGATAGGCGGTAAAGGTGGTGACTCAGTTCCACATGGAGCGACACGTATCGCTGTGTCTTCCTCAACACAACGCCACCTCTGGAAGAGCAAGGCCTAATATGAAAAGCATGGGAGGTTTGGAACAAGGGATTTAGAATTTACCACGAGAGAGTGATAAACAGGTGAAAGCTATGTGCCATGCCACATAGCAGGTGCTCCAAAACTGGGTTCTGAGCAAAAGAATAGAAAGAAACAAACAAGATTTTTACACGGATCCGCTGTGTTCCAGTCGTCCTTAGAAATGACTTTGACAAGATTTACAGATATTCTTTCTTTTACTCCTCTTGGTATGTCTAAGTCGATTGTTATAAATGAGTCTCAGAATAGTCAGTATAGGTGACACTACATGGTAGCATCGTGATTTGGTACCAGGCCTCTCTGACTCTGAGCTTTTCTCTTCTCCTTACCTGCCCCACCTATAAGACTGAAAAGGTCTTATATTACTCTCTGATGACTGACAAGCAATAGAGAGCTATTAGGGGCACATGTGGGGCAGCGCGCTCTCTCAAATTCTACTCTGTGGGCAGCTGCAGTTGCCATCCGCTTATAAAACAGACATACCTATGGCTCTAGAATCCTTCACATCAACTAGATTCACCTAGAAGCAGCTTCCTGGGTTGCTTACTTGCCAGAGGAACTTGTATTAGTTATCTGTTACTCTGTAACAAATTACGACAAAACTGGCAGCTTTAAACAAACACCAACATTGATCTCACAGTTTCCATGAGTCAAGAGTCCCTGCACAGCTTAGCTCTGCTCAGGTTCTCACAGGCTGCAGCCAAGTTGCCACTGGGTTGTGTTCTCATCTGAAAGATAGAATGGAGAAGACTGTTTCCAAGCTCACTCAGGCTTTTGGCAGAATTCATTTCTTTGCAGATGAATGACTGAGGACCCCAGTTTTCAGTGGCTGATCAGCTGGAGGCCAACTCCTAAGGGCCACCACAGTTCCCTGTCACATGGCCTCTCAGGAGGTACTTCACCAGATGGCAGTTTGCTTCCTCAAGGCCAGCAGGAGACTCTCCCCTTAGCCCACTGAGATGGAGTCATATATAATGCAACATAATCATGGGAGGGACATCCCATCACCTTTGACATATGAATAGATTTGTTACTTATGTTACCATCATCATTTGTAATTAATATTAGTATTTATTGTAATTATTATAAATTCAGTTTTCTGAAATATAGTACTAAGAGCCCCTTTACCTTTTGCAAAAGCCATCCATAGTTCCCAGTGCTTATGGAATAAAATCCAAGTTGCCATACCTGACATCTATGCCTCTGTTATCTTCCCGGGTTCACCTTTGCCCACTCCTGGCTGTTCCCTGATCGTACTCAACTCTTCATCTCCTTTCAGCCCATGCGGCCCTTCCGCCTGGCCTGCCCTTAGCGTTCCCCTCAGTCAAGTTCCTGTGCACATCTTTGCAGACCCATCAAGAAGACGATCTTGACTCTCCCAGGGCTCCCTCAGCCTCTCCCTTCTCTGGGCTCCAAAGCTCTGTGCACGTGCCTCTGCACATTGCTGGTCACTCTACATCATACAGTTTCATAGGTCAGTGAGTTCTAGCTCATCTCCCAGTTCCAGGACCTGGCACAGATTAACTCTCGATAAATCATGCTGAATGGATACAGAATCACTATGACTAACAGTGACTTTTTTTTTTATATGGCCCCTTAAAGTTTGCAAAGTATATTAAGCTGATGCAGTTGACAAACATTTTTTTTTTTTTAAGCTGAGCCATCCTGCTACCTGTTGGCAGCTCAGCGGCTGCTCAGCTCGGGCTGGACTCGAACCGCTGTTGCTCAGAGCTCAAACTCTTGAGCGAGCTCTTAACCAACTGAGCCACTCAGCCGGCCCCTAAGCTGATGCAGTTGAGCCTGGAATGCAGATATTGGGCAAAAGACAGAACCAGCTGGATGACCCTAGCAGGCCCAGACCAGTTCAGCACTGGGTGTCCTCTTCTGGTCGACTGACAGGCTCCAGTGAAGAGCCTTCACCTCAGCACTTCCCATATTCACCACTGCTATTCTCGGGGCTCCTCTTCCCCAAAGCCTGCTTCCATATTTTCAGGTCTTTGAATGTTGCAGTCAAACCACTGCTGTACTTCTGAAAGCAGAACCAAAACGCACCACTGGCCCCCGCTCCTCTCTGGCTTCCTGCTCCTGTCCTCCCGCCCCTTTCATCCACTCTGCGCTCCCTCGCCCCGGAAGCCATGTCCACTTCCTGCACACAGACCCTGTACACTGTCCCGCCTCCTCCCGCCCCTCCATCCTCCATCCTCCTCCGGCCGGGCTCCCTGGGACCTCAGCCCACTGGTAGAAGCCCCGCTCCCCCCCCACTCTCCTCCTTGTTGAACCAGTTCCCCATTTGAATTCTTTATGTCCCTCCTCCCTTTATTCTGGGGAAGCCTGGCCCAAAGGCCAGTTGTGACTTTTGTGGGGTAAAGGCCAGGATTAAAAATAGGAAGGAGTTACCATTTGTGTCACCCCACTTCCTTCGCCAGGAAGAAGCTGCAAAGGTAGCATGTCCTCACCAGGCCAAGAGACTGTGCCAGCCAGGTCCCTGAGAAAGGTGGTTGGGAAAAACCAAGGACCACCAATGGGCTGGGGGATGGGTTTCAGTGTCTCAGGGATGCTAAATATGCCCATTTTATAGGTGATTGCTCTCGGTTTTGAATCGAATTGAAATTGACAGAAGCAAGACTGCAGGAGGGAGAAGCCATGTAAAACCAGGACAAGCCATTAAAACCCCGTGAGGCCAAGTTTCCCCTAAAACTGAGTAGGATAAGGTCCTCCACTTGGAATGACTGAGGGACTAATGTGAGATAACATTTAAAGCGACTAGCACAGTGTATAATATGTGGAAGTCTCTCCAAACAAAGCCAGTTACCCTGCCCTTTAAAATTGCTGTTATTCCCTTCGGTGAAGGGCCGCACAGGAGGTACTCAGGCTCTCCTGAGCTGCCCTGGCTGGAATGCGTTTAGTACCTTCAGGGCACTGCCGTCAGAGGCTCACGCAGGCCTGCCGCCAGTCCAGCTGGGGTGGTGGTGGTAAGTGGCACGGAGCCAGCGTCCTCAGCAACTTCGAGAGCTGCTGAGACGAGGTGACTTTGATGTGCTGCCAAAGGAAGACGTGTTGCAATTATCTAAATCATTTAAGGCCCCCACAGAATTCAGAGAACTACAGGTCGCTTGCAAATTTTAAATTCCCTGCTGCTCACCATCCCACCAGCTCAATTTTCAGTTCCCCATCAAGTCCCAAGGTCTCACACCTCGGTGCCTTTGCACGTGCTTGAGTCCTCCTCTCTGGAGCTGCCCAGAAAATTTCCCCTCATACTGCAGGTCTCAGCCCCATGGCCCCTCTTCCAGGAAGCCCTCTCTCTTAATCCCTCCCCAGTGGTCTCTAAATGGGACACTTATTACTCTCTGCTATCACCACCCATTTATGTGCCTGGGTCCCCAACAAAATGAGAGCTCATGGAAGGCAATAAGCAAGCTTTGCTGCTCTCCCTGCCTGGTGCTCACATAATGCCTGCCACAGAGAAGTCCTCAAGAAGTATTTGTTGAAACGCACTTCTACAATTATGTAGTAGTAGCAAGAACCAAAGCCTTAAGATCTAAAAGACCACTTTTTGGATTCAGCTGTTCAACAAAATAGCCCATGACATTGGCTTGAGTGGCTTAGCCTCTGTGCACCCCAGTTTCCATTTGTAAAACAGAACAATAAGATGAGTCCTAGAAATTTGTTTTAAGGAAACACACACACACACACACACACACACACACACTACAGCAGGGTGTTTCCACAGTTAGAGAGAAATGGAGAGAGCCGTTTACACTACACTCCAGGTCAAAGCAAGATTGCCCATCACCACCGATCAGGGGCGCTGACGTTGATTTCTTGATCTCAGCCTCTTGTACTTACACAGGCCCTAACTCCAGGGGGTAGTCAGCTCAGCAGGGAGACCGGATTCCAGGAGGCCTCCTGAGCTTCCCTCCCAAGAACAGAGCATGCCTTGACCCCTGGCCAATGTCCGGGCCTTCACACAGACCTCAGCCAGCTCTTACCTCCCTACACAGGTAAGACTATGCAGTGACAGTGAAAGTGACACTTCCAAAGGGTCCTCTCCTGGGCCAAAATGAACAGAAGCTCTGGCTCCTAGATTCAGTTTCTGGCTGTCACATTAAGAAACAGAAGGACATCTGGGAACCTCAAAACAGGACTTCTTTTCCCAGAGCCCAAGCCCTCATTTCAGGCCAAGAGCCTTTTTCCATCTTTAAGATGTGCACCATGGGTTGAGTATTAGTTAGGATAGACTGGGTGATGCTACAGTAACAAATAGCCTCCCAAATCTCTGTGGCTTACAGTCACAAAGGTTTGTGGCTTGCAGACCAGTTTTATGGGTTTTGAAGACTCCCCAGGGCAGCTGCTCTCCCTGGGATGGCTCAGAATGGTGGCCCCACAACAGTATGTGCTTCCACATGGCAAGGCCAAGGAAGAACATGCACCAGGGTCTCCCTTGGCAATGACACACTTGAGCTGGACATGGATGTGCGTGTTCACTGCATGTCTGTTCACCCACTAAGGCAGTAAGCTGCTTCAGAAATAGAGCCACGCCTCTTTTTGTTTTCATTGCTGTCTGCCTGTTTCAGAAGAGATACACAATAAATATTTGTTGTGTAAACAAACAATAGAATAGATACACTTATCACTCATTTATTGCTCAGCTAGTGTGCAGAGTATCTAATCTGTGCCAGGCCCTGGAGTGAGGGAAGGAGACACAACTGGAAACAAGACTCTATCCTCAGTGAGCTCCTCATCTAAGGCGGAAGTCCTTGTACAAAGAAAAACTAATTCAGCGCAGCATAGTAAGGGCCATCATTGAAACCCATGAAACCTGCAGTAGAAGCAAGTTAAGGAAAAAAAAAAATCCTCCCAGGAAAACCAGGAAGGCTTTAACATGGAAGTGAGGTGTGAGCTGGCTCTTAAAAGATAGGTTTCGCTGTGTAGAAGGGACGAGAAGGGAGACGCAAGGGCAACAGCACGAATGAGGACATGGATGTTAGAACAAGCCTGGCATGTTCAGGGAAGGGAGAGTTTCATTCTGTGTGTTGCTGGACAGTTGCATGTAAGCTGAGTTGCATGACATGACATGCGCCATGTCTTGGAGGACCAAGGGGACATGGATAGCAAGCTGTTTTGAGTTTCTTCCCATAGGAAACGGGAGCCTTTGCAGGTTCCTCAGGAGGGGAGTGACGCAGTCTCCTATGAGGGTCTGTAAGAGTGCCCTGCCTGCAGGAGAGGAATGTGTCAACGGGAGAACATCTAGAACCATAGGGCTGATCAGAATGCTTTCGCAGCAGACAGAGCCTGCCTAGTCTCTCTGAAAGGTAGGTGCTCTTGTCCTGGTTCTGCAGCAGGAATGTCCTCTGATGTCAACAGATGTGTCCTATTTCTGTGTGTTCGTGTGCATACATACTCATATGCATATCACAGGGTATTTAAGGCATTTTCCATATTGATTTGTGTATAAAACCTCTCCAAGGAAGGCAGACAATAGCAAAACTGAGCTCAACCAGAGTTTAGAATTAAAATTACAGGCGACAATTGTCACTTTTTCTACAGAGAGCTAGAAGCATTGGAGTCCATGACCTAACACCCACACACACAGGGTCTGGTATATAGATGTCTTAATGATGTTTAATGCTTTCTATTTCTGTGAGGAAATGTGCCGTGAGACAGTTACCTCATGTTGTCAATGTCAAAATGAGATGACCTCATAAGTTCCTCCCTGCTCTGGCATCTATAAAACTCAGGGGTAGAGGAACTAAGTGACCCACCCAAGGTTGCACTGCAGGGTTATCAGAAACCCAAGGCTTTGAGGTCTCGTGCAGAAACATCCGAGGTTGGTTGGTTTGGGTTTTGTTTGTTTTGCCATCAGGAGCGACATCACAGAAATCCATCTATGAGGCCACACTGACTATTCAGAGGCAAAAATAAGCAGTTCATTTAAACAGAAATAATATCGTTTTCACATTGTTAACATGAAAGTTGTTTTTAAGAATCATTTTATTAATTTTTTTTGTAAAAAAGCAAAACCTAAGTCCATCACTGTAAGTCTAGTACTGACTGGTCCACTGCTCAGTCTGAGTCACTGAGAACACCGGTGTTTTCAGACTGAATGAGTTAGGAGGGAGGTGATGAGGAAGGATCCCTCAATCCTGACTCTACATTACATCACAGAAGGTTGTTTTCAGCTGTAGCTTTAACCTAATCGTGCAAGATGATGGATTTTCACAGAAGCAGTGGGATTAACCACGGTCCAGGGTTTGGCTACAGGATTCAACAGACATCTCAAACTATCACGGAGAACTTTTTCTGAGTATCCATAGTGTGATTTTCAGCTTTATTCCTCTTATAATTGAGTCGGGCTGAGCAGGGCAGGTATCTGATCATCAGACCCACCGTCAGGAGCCGACTCTAAAAACATAGTAGGAATTTAGGATAGGCTGGCCTCTGATCCAAATGTATAAATTTCTTCTAGGTTGTTTAATTTCATTTATGCCACATGTCAGTCAGAAAAACAAAACCAATTGTACCTATCTATCCATCTATTTATATGTATGTATAGATACATTCAGGTGTGTGTGTATATGTAAATATACTGGCTAGTAGACCTGATATTCATAGGACAGAGTAGAAATTCAGGCAAGATGCTGCAGTCTGTGTCACAATTTCTTCTTCTCTAGGAAACCTTAGTTTTTGCTTTTAAGGCCCTCATCTGATTAGATGAGGCCCACCCACATTATCAAGGGCAATCTCCGTTACTTAAAATTAACTGATTATAGATGTTAACCACATCTACAAAATACCTTCACAGCAACACCTAGATTAGTGCTTGATTAAATAACTACAGCCTAGCCACATTAACACAAAAAACTAACCATCACACCAAATTTCTGCCTTTTTTCAAAATCTATGTTTCCCCTGGAGTTGGGGCAAGTTAGCTACAGGAGAACCATACTTTTTCCAGTTGCCAGAAGCTCAATCCATCCATCCAAATCAGTCACACTCTTGGGTTTGTTTGTTTATAATTTCAAGTTCAGTGTGCCCAGATGTCTTATCACATCAATGAGGAAGCGCAAACCTGTGAGTTATGGAGGGTCTGCCAGGAGGAATTTTCAAATCCCCTGAACAGGTTTTTATGGCCTCACCATCTGATTGCCCTAAAGTACACCCAATGGCCACGCGCTACTTCACATTCTTCCAAATACCCCATGACCTGGAGATGACTCAGAGCCCAAGAATGAAGAAAATAGTCAGATTCCCAATCACATCCTGCGTCACTTCTTCATTGAGCCTGACTTACAAAGAAAAAAGTCTCCAGATGAATGAGCAAAGTGGAAGCAGAGCCCAGCAACCTTCTTTTTGGACGTGAGTGCGCAGTTGCAACATTCTTTCCAATCTGGGTTAAGGGAGTTCACTTTTTCTGCATTTAGCCTGAATGTCTCAGATGCCACTTTGGCAGGTGCACAGCCATGATATTTCTAATGTGCTAGCAAACTGTATACAATTCTCAAACACAAAATGAAGAAGACAGTAATGAGCAGGTTCTAAGGAGAGTGCAGAGCAACCGTCACACACTGTTGATAAGAGTAAAAATTGGTACAACCACTTTGAAAACCTATGTGGCAATAGCTCCAAAAGCTGAAAACACCTTCATCCCTAGCAGTCCCTCTCCTGCATATACATCCCACAGAAATGTACTGCAATGTCCATGGCAATGCTATTCATAACAGCCCAGAGATGGAAATAACACAAATGTCTATAAACAGTAGAATGGATAAACAAATAGCATACCACACACAATAGCATACCGCAATGAGAATGATAATCTGTAGCAATAAGCAACATCAGGGAAGAATGTCATAAACATAATACTGAGCCAGAGACCAGACACCAAAGGACATATCATATGATTCCATTGATAGGAAGTATGAAAAAAAAAAAAAGAACTAACCTGTAATATAGGAATCAGGAGAATAGTTACCATTAGAAGGAACATTATGACAGGAAAGTGTCGCCAGGGAACCTCTGCAGAGATTGATAATGTTCAATTAACTATTGCTCCCTAATAAACTATCCCCAAACTTATGGGCTTAAACCAACAACCATTTCTTTATATCACATGACTGTGGGTCAGGAATTCAGGCAGGGCTCACTCACCTGGGGGATTCTTTGCTCCACCAACGTCTTGTTGGCGGTCACTTAGTGTTCAGCTGGTAGACGGATTAGTCTGCAGGCTCCAGAGAAGCTGTCCTAACACATTTCGTGCAGGGATCGCCGGAAATCTGAGACCCAGTGGAACTGTTGACAGGGGTGCCTGTATGTGGCCTCTCCAACGTGGCAGCCTCAAGGTAGTAGACTTCTTACATGGTGGTTCAGAGTCCCGAGAGAGAGTTTCCAAGAGACCCAGGTGAAAACTGCATGGCTTCTTATGACCTAGCCTTAGTGTCATTTCCATTTCACTCCATTAGTCAAAGAAGTCACTAAGGCAGTCTGAATTCAAGGGATGACAGGAAGAGATTCCACGTCCATGGTCAAGGGGCATAACGTACGCAGAGGGAAGGACTTGATGGCAGCCATCTTGGAGACGAGCTTCCACAGGTGATGTTTTGTTTCTCGATTTGGGTGTTGGTTACAGGCTATGTTCAATTTGTGAAAATTTGCCAAGCTATAGACTCATGATATATGCCATTTTCTATACGTATATGTGCTACAGGCTAAATAAGCTTTTAGTTTGTGTCCCTCCCTCCTCTCCCCTCTGCCCAAACTTCACATGTTCAAACCTAATCTCCGATGTGATGATATTTGGACATGAGATCTTTCAGAGGTGACTAGGATTAGTGCTGTTATAAAAGAGACCTTAGAGAACTCCCTCACCTTTTCTTCCATGTGAGGACACAGTGAGAAGACGGCCGTCTATGAACCAGGAAACAGGCCTCTGCCAGACACTGGATCTGTCGGCACCTTGACCTTGGACCTCCAGAACTGTGAGAAAGAAATTTCAGTTGTTCATAAGCCACACAGTCTATGGTATTCTGTGATAGCAGCCTGAAAGGACTAAGATGATATGATTTTAATTTTAAAAAGCTTAATTGTAAAAAGAATCATCAAGCCGAATAGACCTGGGAACAGACAGGTCCCATTTGGACCCTCCTGTACCATGGCTAATACTCCTGCTTTGCTGGCATCGCACGGCCTTGAACCAGCTCTGTGTCCTCGGGCCACGTCCACGTGAACTATCAGGCTCCTTTCCCTGTGAGGTCCTCAGTTTCAGTGAAGAAGGAAAGCAACAAGTGCCTCCTGGACTACTGGGAGGAAGACAGAGACAAACTAAAACTCTCCAGCACATCCTGGATTCTCAGAAAATTAACTTCATTTCATTTCAAACATTGCCTTGCACCCCCGACTCCTCAGCTGCCGAGGAATTTCACAGCTAAGACTTTCCTAGAAGGCCTGACAAGAGTCCAGAGAGAGCTTTCCACCCCTCCCCATGGTCCTCACCTTACAAGCCAAGAAAGATGTACATTCTCAGACACCTGTGTCCTACGGGGGGTGGGAGGGGGTGTGGGGAAGAGCCTGGGTCTGAAGCCCATGAAAATGCTCTGCAGCTGCCAGGATGAGACCAAAGTCCCCAAGCAGAGTGACAAGTGAATCACCTCGACTCATGCTTAGTCACTGCAAGGTACTTTCCACATGGACACATGGAGATGGTTACCAAAGAAATGTCTGCTGGCTGCTCTCACATCAGCTCAAAGAAAATGTTGTTGTAACCTTTACTTTGGAGGGGGAAAAAATAGCATCACTTTCCCTTTCCTTTTCTTTTTGGAGAGAGATTTGTTGGCAAAATAGTTGAAGTGGTTGTTTTTGTTTACCCTGGAGAAAGTTTCCAGATAGCTCTGAACCCTGAGCTTTGTGTATGTGGCAGGCCCTTTGAGTCTTAAGCACTTAATGTCTAAGTGTGTAAACAACCCCCTTAGCGGAGACTGTCACAGGCCATCCAGATCACGGGGCCTCCTCCCATCATGCTCTCGTCAGCAGAGTCCTCCAGGCTTTGAGGCGTTAGAGAGCCGGGAGTTCAAATCCTCACTCTGACCTGTACTATCAGTATAAACTAGGGCATGGTATTGCAACTCCCTGACCCCCCTACTTCCTGATTAATAATAATGAGGATTAGTAATGCTTACCCACAAAGTGGCTATGAGAATTAAATGAGGTTGTGTGTAGGAGCACCCTAAACACTGCTAGGCACTCACATAATAGTCGATTAGTTCAAATGAATCCACCCCTTCCTTCTCTCCCCTCATCCTTCCTCTTCCTCACTTATTTCCCTTTCTTTCTGCCTTTCTCTTTTTAAATTTGTTCTCTTCTTATTTCTTTCCTCCATTCTAAACTTAATCAACCTTCAATTCTCTCCTCCCCTCTCTGCTGTCTGCATTTTTTTTTTTGCCTTGTTTTCAAGTCTCAAACCCCCTCTGCATTCACAGTCATCCCTCTGGCTGGTGCAACCTTGGCATGGTGGTCATTGAAAGCCAGCCAAATTTTGGTTAAAAACACTGCGATTCTTGGCCAGACTGTTTCTCCTTACAAACGAGGGTGATATTTCAGGCATGGGACGTCTTCCCATCCATTTAAACCCCAGGGAAAAAAATAGCAACACCTCAGTGTGTGGCCTAGGTGGACAGCGATGTGAGGCTCCGAGTATTGACAGAAATAAATCTGGTGTTTCTGAAAATTGTGAAACATGTGCAGTGAATGTGTCATCCCAGCAAAAGTGAGTCAGTCCCCAGGCTGGGGCCCAAATCTGGCTGGGTTCACTTTCTAAATAGAAAGTGTATTCCTGGCCAGCCTAACATAGCAAAGTGGCGGTCAGTGAGAATGGAAAGAGAGACACAGGAGGAGGCATGCAAATCTATACTTTGCAAGGAGTTTTACTGGAAAAATGAAGTTCTCGCTCTGTGATTTTTTTTTAATTATTCCTTCCTTTTTACCTTTTCTCTCAATCCTGCTGTCTCCACCAAGCTATTCCTTCCATCGTTATCTTAACACAAACTTCTAGAAGAGTGGTCTTTGACAATAGGACCACAACATTGATGAATGAATGGACAAAGAAAATGTGTATTTGTTATATATATATATAATATTTTTATTATATATAAATGTGTGTGTCTATACATATATATATATATGTGTGTGTGTGTGTGTGTGTGTGTGTGTGTGTGTGTACCATATATACACATATGTATATTGTGTGTGTGTATATATAATGGAATATTATTCAACTATGAAAAGGAAGTAATCCTGCCATTTGCAACAACATGGATAGAGGCTGGAGACATTATGCTAAGTGAAATAAGTCAGGCAGAGAAAGACAAACATTGTATGATCTCACTGATATGAGAAATCTTAAAAAAAAAAAAAAACCACAAGCTCTTAGATATAGAGCACAGATTGGTGGTTGCCAGAAGTGAATGCGGGGGATGTGCAAAATGGATAAAAGGAGTCAAAAGGTATTGGGTCATCGGGAAAGTCATGACACATTTTTGCACTGAAAAACATAGAAAGATACATCATGACTTTCCCGATGACCCAACACAAACTTCCAGTTAAAAAATATATAAGTCCTGGGGATGTAATGTACAACGTGATGACTATACTCAGTAATACGGTATTGCATATTTGAAAGTTGCTAAGAGTAAATCTTAAAAGTTCTCATCACAAAAAAAATATATTTTATAACTATGTATGATGACAGTGTTAACTAGACTTTTTCTGCTGATCATTTTGCAATATATACAAATATTGAATCATGTTGTACAACTGAAACGAATGTTGTGTGTCAATTATACCTCAATTTAAATTTTTTGTAATTATTAAATATTAAAGATTTTCAAAAGTAAAAAGCAAAAACAGGACCACAAAGTTGCATCAAGACAGCCTTGCTATAACCTTTGGAGTAAGACAGGCCTGGGTTCAAATCCTAAACCCACCTTTAACTAGCTGTGTGTGTTCCTGACAGAGAGAGGAAAAAAAAAAAAAAAAACCTTAGGCAAATTTCTAACCTCCCTTGAGGCTTAGTGTCACTTCAACCAATAGGAACAACCTGCCTCTTGCCCGAAAAGTGAAAAGATGACAGTAACATCAGCAGTGCCTTGGCCACAGGTGCCCATCTTATCTGAGTCACCTTTCTCTTCCTTTCCCCAGGAAGTTACATGTCCTTTTCAGTCCCTGGTTCTCTGCACACACGGGGCTGTCCCTTCTGGAGGGAGTCAGAATCTGTGTGAGCAGCAGTGACAGCAGCAGCTGCTACATCAGCTTTGCCTCGCCACTCCAGACACAGATTCTGGAGGAAAGAAGCAACGCAGGGTCCGGGGACTCCTGTGCCAGCATCCCTGGCCAGCGCAGATGCCTGAGTCACGTGGTCTCCATGGTGCCAGAGGAAGTGATGCAACCACCCTCCGGCTTTGGGTCAGCCAGGAGGAAAGTGTCCTGTTACAGCATGGGCGTGGCTGGTTTCAGGGCTCTGGGCCTGCACCCTGTCCCAAACCCACAGCATAGGGGCAGCAGGAGAGCCTGTCTTTGTGTATACACTGCCTGCTGTTTACCCTGCTTTGTGTACTGCCATCCGGGTCCCACAAAGAGCCCAGCCAAGCACGACATCCCAGGCCCTTGGCTTCTCCCTTCCCCTTCCTCCAGCTCACAAGTTGCTCTGACTACAAACACCTGTTTCCTTTTGCCTGGACCCTATAGGGTACAGCTATTCTATTGACTTCATATGCATAGCAGAAATATACATAATTGAATTTAATTATAATAACTACACTCATTAAAAACCTATGTAATGTTCATTAAGCAGCCTAGGTAATATGCAATTAATAGCATTAACATATGAATTGCGCATCGGGTCACTAATATGCACATTATGTATGATATTCAACATATGTATTAATTACAGCACACGCAGGAAACACACAGCATTCAACGCTTGCAGACCTGCCCCAGTTATAAACCCTTTTGATTTCATAAAAATCCCTTTTATGGAATATCTTTTTCATTAATTGGCACATATGCTTTTCAGCTCTTTACATAAAGATGGCTATTGGAGACAAAGGACTCTGAGAAGCTGGTTAGCGCTGGAGTCGAGTCAATATGAGAAGTCTGTATTGGAGCTCACCCTGGAGGAAGGCCATGACCTTGAGGGCAGAGTTCAGACTTCTGTGTTCTGTCCTAGCCTCTGCCAAAGCTTCCCCTGCCAATCGCTACTACCTCCAATGGGACATCCATTATCTAGGAAATGGGCATAATAGCACTTGACATCACCGGGACATTAAGCAGATTATCTCATTAGGGACACCAACATGCCTTAGAAAGGCAGAATGGCAATAACATGGAGTGTCACTGCCGGGAAGTTCCCAACAGAAAGTTTCTCCATTAAGGAAAAGTACCTGCTCCATCACACCCAGCCTGCTCTTGACATGGGTAGGTTTGTCCAGTGGTCCTCAACCGGGATGAACAGGCATTGGTAATAACTGCCCTTTCGTGACGTTCTCGCATAGTTTCTCCTCAAAGCACATTCTTGGCATTGCCTGGTGCCTGGGGTTACCATCTTCATTTCACAGAATGTGGAAAGTGAGGCCCTGGTAAATAAAGCAAGTTACCCAAGAAGGCCCCCCTGGCATGAAGGAGATGATAGAAGATGGACAGAGAGGCCTGCATCCTATTTTCTTGTGACTGGTTTCTGACGTGCTTCCAGCTTTCTCCTCCTTGACTGAAAGGAGCCAATCCCTGACTGTGCACCCGGGTCCCCTTTTTCTCTCTATCTGTTCCTGCCTTTCAGGAAAGCCCTGGAGAGCCCCACTTCTAAAGGATTGCCAGCCCATACTTTGTTCTCCTCCAACATGCATTTGCATATTCACACGGGTCACTTCTCTAAACCAGGCCGAGTGCTGGACACAATCATGAGCAAGTCACGGCCTTCTCTTCAGGGA